TAGCAGAAAAGGCCTGATAAATTGTACCGGAAAGGAATTTAATTACTGGAATATACTTTTTAAAACTAGGATTTCATAGGCATTTATCTTATTATCTAAAATAGCAGAACCTTTTTTGTCTTCCGACCTCAAAGTGTGTCTAAATGCGCTGCTAAAATTACGGATCTGAATTTGCTGAAATCAACTTTGCGGAAGAACGCATAAGAGGATGAAATGCAAGAAGTACACCGTGGAGCACCGCATTCAAGAAAACTTGTAGGTGCAGGTTTGGTAGGTGTTATAGACATATTCAACTACTTGTGTGTCCAGAGTAAAGCATCTCATATGACCATGCATTCTGCCATTTAATTTTAACTCTACGAAATTTATAAGCTTCAAGTTCCTTATTTTGAAAAGATAAAAATATTAGGGACGATTGCGTACTGTGTAGAAATATAGTGGCACAAATTTCACAATACTATTAGAAAGAAGGCCTGACAATTTGTGAGCAGCAAAGCACCACCTCTGCCTCATCCACCATTTACAACGCTGAATCCTGCACAATAGATTGGTGATTCTATCAAGAATACCAGAAGTTCGGAACATCTCTGGGACTTCCATGGGAGGCACTAACTACCATCACTAATGCTGCACCCATGTCCTACTTTAAGACGATAAGAGTGCTGGCATAAACGTTATAATATCTATAAAGGCGAGATGGAGGACTGGTATTGGATACTAATGAAGCAGAAAGTCAAGGCAACAAATTGAGGGGTTTAAGAAGGCAGGGCATAAGAAGCGGTTGCCACAGTTTGGATTAGAATGATATCACGTCTTCTATTCAAACATTGTGCTATTATATTTACTCAAGAATTTTATGTCACATAGCTTTGCAAAGGAGGAAGATATCGTGTTATATTATCGCTTTTTTGTTTGTGGAGAACATGAGACAACGATAGAATTGTGTGGTTAAATGACGTTATCCATTCGCTTGCAATTTGCATCCAGCTTAAGGTTGTCTAAATTCAAGCCTTTGAAAAGCGGCAAGTTTTTTGCACCACTTTTGAGTGAACGCCTCAGTCTTTGCAAACTGCACCTCTGATCTGCTGCACGAATTTATTAACAAAACGATAGCTCCGTAGATCTTCTACTAGTTAGTTATATATGTGTAATATTTCGTTCAATTGTTTAGCTTTTGGTCTTGATAACAGGGCCATTCAGGGCTTCCACTACCTTATCTCCGTCAAAAGGCCGACTGGTCGAGGCCTTTGCTTGTGCCGGTAAGCCTTTTTCCTTCTGTAAGTCGACAATACACATGCTGCTTGCCTATTATCCTATCTTCTGTCCTCGAGGAAGTCTCAAGCTGATACAATGTGGTTGTCTGGAATGCTCCAGTTTTATGAGACTTTAAGCTAGACTTGTGATTCCACATTCTTTCATAACGCAGACATCTCTAAATACACATATTCGAGTGTCCATCTGAGTCGACAAATTAATTATCCAAACACAAATTTTAAATAAGTTAAGCCAAATTTTGTTGTTATATCTCACAAGAATACTAAAGCAAATGGTTTGGTTTAAACAAAGCACCATGGTGTAGAATTGAGGGGAGAAAGCAGGTGTGCGCTAGGTGATATAAAAGCAGGTCGTCCCTACCATCATAAAAATTCCCATGTATTATTACTTTACAAGTCTAGATTTTTTTTGTGGAACAAATTTAGCTTGAATTATGTTGTAACCTCTTACATTAAGAAAGTACAGGTGAGAGGCACAAACTGCAGAGACTGAAACGCCTGCTGAATACAGCACACATTTAAACAAAATGCCTCATTCTTCTCTTCGGCGTAGTCCTCACGACTCAGCTCATTTTTCTGCCTCAACAATCAAAAAGTAGATGGTTATTAAGAAATCGCCCACAAAACACCATCACCTTGTACCATGCAAGACGGCATTGGATGCATCGTCTGATTCAATGGTGCTGCATCTCCCCACTTCCGCCATCTCTGTCGTGCGGTTATGCCCCAAATGGGACGTGCCTGGAAATGCACTAACTTTGCCCTGCTCAAGTCCAAACGCAAACCCAGACCCAGATATATAACATTTCGGTCGCTGGCTGTAAGGCCCCTGCCCCAAAGCTAGGACTGGTTAATCAACCACAAGACTTAAAGTAGTTTTACGGGGCCAAATGCTTCCCATCCATTCCACGCCTACTTGTCAATGGGATCCCGGTTCGCCGTGCTGTCCAGCCATTTGTTTGTCTCCTCAGCTGCGTTCCATTCATTCAACTGACAGAGACATGATAGAGGTATCACCCCTCCACGTAATTTATGCCTTCACATAGGCTTTTCCAAATTGTTCAAGTTTAGTATTGCTTCAGCCATCAATATCCTACTTGCGGATTAAGTGGTAGGAGTAATTGGGAAAGACCAAGGAGACTTGTAAGTCCTCTTTTAGGAGCTGTCGCAGATGCCCATTGACCGAGACATTAGAAGTGGATGTTTTTGCAGCAGAATGGAGTGCCATTTTCATCAATATCGTATCTCGGATGTTCTCCGAAGTAGTATAGGCCAAAGTACGTGGGCGAGTATATCTTAACAGCGTAGAGTGCGACTGGGTGGATATCGTGCAGCATAGAGTAGAAGTACAACCAGAAAAAGCGTAGTAGCCACGCAAAATAACATGCTCATCAAAAAATTACCATTTACTAAGCAAAAGAATTTAACTAAAACCTAAGAAATTGCCTTAACCTATTTTAACTTCATTAAAATTCATCAAAGGTAAAGTGGAAATAAAGATTTGAGATAGTGTGTATACCAAGACCTCCCCAATAGAAAAAGATTGGAAAATATTACGGTAGAATATGCATTGTCAACCAAAAGACCGGCATGGAGGTACCGGTATGGCCCAAGTGCCAGAACGCCCAGCAGGGATGAAATGGCAGAGTTCCTAATCGACCTATCACCAAAACAGGAAGTTAAACAAACACTTAAAGTATCAGGTAGCTCTTCTCCTAATTTCGAGAGTCATTGGCACCTCCACTCTTGACAAAACTTCCACTTCAAACATCACAACATAGTCGGCGATGTGCGCAAAACACTTACCACCCATCCACGCCAGTCAGCAAATCTTCCAGCGTCTAAGGAGATATTTTGTCACAATGTCACTGATTCCTCTGAGAAATTCTACCGCATCTGCAGAAGCCTCCTGTAAGTGTTCTGTCTATCACGCGTCTTCATTTCTAGTTGTAGGAACATTGGGTTAAAAACAGAGTCAAGTAACATAACACTGGGTGTAACATAGTTCCCTCATGATATGGTTTTGTGTTTCTTCTCACTCCAGCGCTTACCAGCCACATCTACCTGTGTTCCATGAAGCTAGCGGAGAGATGGAGGAGGTGTCGCCTGTTTGCTTAACTAATATCTTTATTGAGGTACGATAGACAACTGCGCAAAGAACTTCTCTAGATGATTCTCGGTCGATGTCGCTTTAGTTGTAAATGTATTCCCTAAAGAAAATGAGACCATGGTAGTTGCCAGATGAAGACATCATTTTCGTATCTTTCACTGGCGCTCGTCATCGAATCGCTGACTGGCAACATATGTACTACTTCCACCCAACTAAGGCTCATCATCCAGCAGCACGTATGGTAGGAATGGGGGCTGCTGACACGTCGCAGATGCAAGGTGGTCCAGCAGACCTACAATGACGGAGCCAAGAATCGGTCTGTCACCAAAACCGAGAGTTAGGCAAAAGATTAAATTATTTTAGAATTTTTAAACAAGCCGACAAATGAAATGTAGCTCATTTTAGTGTATATACGTCTGTTAGACAAAAAACGAAGCTGTGTAGACCAATTTTTGGCCGATAAAACCTCACTGAGGCCAGC